GGGAAACCCCCAGAGTCCCCAGTGATGGGCGGGGGGCTCAGGGCTCGGGGATTAAGATGTACTTGTAATTTTGTTGTTATGTCTAGGCTCTGAAGCAGGGTTTGTCATTGTTGTGGAAGCAAGATTTGTCAGGACGCAGGACATCCCTCTGGCTGTCCTGAGCAGCCCAGACCCCTGCCAGGGGGCTCAGAGACCCTGGCACAGAGCCCAGAATGCCCCTGTGGTTTTGATTATGACCCATGGAGCAAATTACCAATCTGGTATGAAGATCAGCAAGCCACAACACTTTATGTAGCATATTGATGAAGTTATTACAGGATGGAAAAGTAGATTTTAGGGTTTTTGGTATGGGGGTTCAGTAGGAAGATGGAGGGAACTGGGTGTGTCCAGCTTTCTCCTTCTTCTTGGCCTCCCTCTTCTGCTGTGATGTTGGCACTTACCAATTGGTTTAGAGTAGAAGCTCACTGTCTAACATAGGTGATAGGTATTGGAAAGTAATTGTAAATATTGTATATGTCGTTTTTAGTATAAAGACATAATACTGCCCTGGGGGAGGCAGAGTGCTTGGAACTGTCTTGCTGAGCTCACCTTGGCAGGACAGGAGAAAATTTTTTATAGGTAAGATAAAATAAACAACCTTGAGACTGAGAAATGAAGAGCCCCGACTCCTTCTTCAAGCACCAGACTGGGAAAAGTGACTTTGGAACTTTTCTCAGGGTCACTCTGACCAGCCAGAGATCCTGACAAAGATTAACCAAGGATTAATACAGAAATAGATGTTCTAATCTATCCTTGCACTTCTGCTGGTCCCTAGGAAGGCTGGTGGGTGATTTCTGTCTGTGTTCAAATATTTAACGCAACAACAAATAGTCCCACACTTTATATTTCAGATAAACAATTTAATGGCATCTTAACATTGGTTTCACAATCTTATAACGTGCATATTTTACTCCTTGTGAAGCTGAAATCTTTTTAAATACAAGTAATTCTACAGAAATTTTAGAAGTTTCGAAACCATTTTAACATACTGAAAACAAAATAGTCTAAAAAGACAGGTCTAACAGCCATTAAAATGCAGGAAAAAGCAAGAGGACTTCAGGTAAAAGAATATTCATTTAACAGCTACATTTCTTCCACTTAGTATTTATGTGTTAAGAAAAACAGAGTAAATGTAAAAGAACAGAAGTTCTTTGAAACCAGAATTTCTAATGCCAGAAACAGCTTTGAAACAACTTTCTGTGTAGTTCTACTTATTTCCAAATTTAAAATTGGCTAATTTGTGTCCCAACATTTTGAAGCACAAGGGAGGAAAGGTGGAAGATGCTCTGCAGGGGTTGCAGTTATAGATCTATAAAGTTTATATGTGTAAAGGAATGAACACAGTATTAAACACATTTAGTATGACAGAAAAATGCAAGAAAGCACCAACTCTGAGAGAAAAACAGCCCTGCAAGCAATGCCAGGGCACTGGGCATTTCTGCATTTTAAGCAAAGAGCTTTACAGCATCTTTAATTTTCCTTTTCCTGTCCATTTTGGAGAGCGCAGTCCAGCCCGCCTCGCGCATCCTCCTCATGGTTTTGAGTTTCAGAGCAGAGCCTGGAGATTTCACACTGCATGGAGCTGGGCTCTGGGAAGGAAAATAAAGCCATCCTTTCGTTTCTGTAAACAATCTGATTAACTGCTTGCTTTAATCTTAGGAAAGGCTAACATACCTTTTTTGGTGCTGTGGAATGTAACTGTGAAGCTTGTGGATAATCTTTGTACAAATTTTTAAATGTTTCTTCTTCCGAGACTATGCTCTATATGATTAAAAGTTGAAAGTTAAATTAAAAGTTACTTAGTCACATTATATTAAAATTACTTTTTCTTTCTGCCTAAGGATATTAAATTATGAAAAAGAAAAGTTGTCATTATGAGGCATAACAGTTCAATAAAAAGAATGTTAATTATGTACATACAACTACAATTCCAGAAAGAACCAATAAATTAAAAATATACATAAATATTGGCTGGAATGTGGAAGCCCAAACTCTTTATTTCCATTCTCGGCCCCAGCAGTGAGCACAAAGAGCTGCTCAGCCCACGATTTGTTCTCTGGCTCTTACCAGGAGGTCAGTGTGCTCAGAGCTGTCTGACTCAGTGTCCAGCTGCACAAGCACTTTCTGCTTTTTCCTGCTGCTCTGCCCTGCAGGCAGGTTTGTGCTTCTTCCACTCTGCATTTTATCCCTTGGAGGAGTCTTTATAACATATGTCTGGGAAAGAAAATGTTTCTATTTTTAGATTATATTTTATGGGGTAAGTATGGAATCTAAAGCCAAACTCAGGACCCAGTTTACAGTCTGAGTGTCCAAGAATTCACCTGAGAGAACTGGTGGAACTCTGATCTTTCCATCCAAAGATGGAGCAAAGACCCAAACAAAGTGGGGTGGGGTTGAAATATCATTTTTTATATTATTTTTGTTGCCAAATGAGGAGAATGAAGGAGAAGCTATGGAAGAGCTGAGTTTCATGGCACATTGTATTTAAGTTCTCCATGCTTATCTGCAGAAATCCAGGTTATTCTGAACTGCAGCCACTACATTGGACTCTATCAAACATCAAAGAAAATGGGAACAAACAAAACTGCAGGAAAAGGCTTTCAAAGAAAGATTGGTAGCTACATCCAGATTGGTGTTTCTTAAAATAGTCTTTTCACTAGAAGTGAAACTGAGAAGCATTGAATGGTCCAGTGCAGTCCTTTTTTAGACAGATAACCTCAAAATGGTGCTGGATTCCATTGTTCCAATGTGAAAACCACAAGTGAACTCCTGACAGGGAAGAAGGGTCAGTCCTGCAGTCAGGACTACTTTGATACTTTGACCACTTTTACAGCTGTATCAGCTTTTTTCTCTTCCATAGAGGAAAAGTGCCTTTACAAATGGACACTTTTAAGACTATGTAAAATAATTCTAGAGACATAAAAAAATCAACAAGTGAGCAAGAAAAATTACACACTGGGAGCCCTTCCAGAAACTGCTGTCTCATATCTCCATGGAATGGTGTGACCCTTTAAAATCCCTTCTTATCCCAGGGGGAAAAAAAGAATCATCTACAGAGAAGTAAGAAATACAGGCAGAAAAATGCAACAAGAAAAATTCACTGTCAGGAGTTACAAAACTTCAATGTTGGACTGCCCAAGGGGCTTCCTGTACTGAAGAAGACTTTTTTTTATTTTTTTATTTTTTTTTCTAGGAATATAATTTGGAGAGTTTCTATTTTTTACATGAATAGATTCACTGCATAGATCTAAACAAGGTTTAGGAGTCCCAGGAACATCAATTTGTATTTTCTATAATTTAAAATTTTAAGTCTAAAGCATTCTACTGTCTTTTGTTGAATGGAAATAAATTATCATGGCACTTCAATTGACTCTACACATATAAATACTACCAAATTCTAAAAGCAATTAAAAAGTTAAAGTTACCTTGTGTTTCTTTTCACTTTCAGGAATCACACTGCCAGAGTGCTCTTTTACAAGATTCTCCTACAAAAGAGTTATGTGACAGCAAGGAAATATTGATTTGAATTCAGTTGTTAAAAATCTTCTTGGTCTAATTACAGAGCACAGTCTATAATCACAGACTGCTACAAAGTTCACACAAAAATATGACCAGGTTTGGTACAACCCCAGCATTCAAAAGTCACTGAAAAACCCCTTCAGTTTAGGGAACTTTTTTGCTTTAGCTAGTTAAAATTAACTAAAATCAAGGAGAGTTTTGTTTTGTTGTTTGTTTATTTATATGTAATCTATAATCACAGACTGTTACAACGTTCACACAAATCTATGACCAGATTTAGCACAACCCCAGCATTCCAAAGTCACTGTTTTTTCTGTTCTCTTACCCAACTCCTCCCACAGCACAAGCCCAGGCCACGCCTCTCACCCCCACTGCTCAGGGAATAAAAAACTCCACCTTTTCTTCCATTTCTGCTCTCAGCTGTTCCTTAAGGTAGGACAGTTCCCTTTTCAAACATGACAGCTCATTTTCCTACAAACCGTTAAACAAAGGACAGGGTTAACTCTGCACAGCCCAGAAAAAGGAAAACAGTCCCAAGTGAGGCAGTAATTAACAGGGACACTCATTAGATACACAAGATAATTCTATTTGCTTTTCAGCCCTATACTTGAAGCTTTGCTTTAGCTTGTTTAACAAAGACTGAAGCACTGTAAGAAACAGGTACTTGATCAGAAGTGTTCAAGGTAATACCTTAAAACCCTTGGGAGAGCAGGGGTGAGAGGGCACAACAGAACAGGGGTGAGAGGGCACAATCTAAATATTGAAAACAAAAGTTTCCTATTCAAAGGGCGGAGTCAGAACATGACCCACTACCTGGAGCAGCAGACACAAACACACTGCCGCTCCAATTTATTTTTAGAAACATTTGGAGTTTTTAGCGCCCAGAATAAGATCTGTTGCAGCAGGTTGGGTGGGACTGCTGCGGGTAAAAAGTAAAAGCACACTGGAAGAGTTCCCAGAGAATGTCTCTGGTGGGAAAGACCCCAGAGCACAGCAGGAAAAAGAAACTCTCTAAGCAAATTGAAAAAAGATCTTTACAAGTCACAAACTGACCGAAGATCACATCTTTTGTCTCTCTGTGCTGTCGGTGGGCAAGAGGGAGGGATTGGGAAAAAAGGTGTTTTAAGGGTTGCGTTTAATTATCATTACTCACTTTTAATTCTATTAATAATAATTTTTTTTTAAATTTTAAAACACTATTTAAGTTTGAATCTGCTTTACCCTCAAAGTGTTTTTCTCCTAATCTTTATCTCAACTCAGTCCTTGAATTTTTCTTTCCCCTCCTCTGCTCAACAATAGCAGAGAAAAATGAGTGAATGTTTTTTTGTGTGTGCCTGGCACTTAGCCAGTATAAAACCACTCCACAAGGACATCAGCCCCTTCACTGAATTATTGACCATTGCAAAGTGCTCCTTACCAGTGCCCTTTCTGATGAGAACTGCTTTTGCTGTTTCATTTTATATACTTTTAACTCTGCATCTTTTTCTTCAACCATTTTATCATATTCATTCTGTGGTAAAAAAACCAAACCAACAACAAACTCAAAACATGTGACTAAATGTCGCAATTATAGAGTTATCCAGTCTTAAAACATCATTTTTTCAAACCAGGCTCTTAAGATTCATAAAGAAAAGATTCATTGATGCTTCTGCAGAAACTGTAAAACAGGAAATGCTCAATTCAAGTATTATTTTGTGGACTGGCAGAGAGTGCTTTATTTCTGTGCAGCAATATGTGCTCAGCACTAAGAGCCAGCTGTGCCATCTTTATTAATGTAGCTGCTAAAGATATTGCAAAATGAGGAATAGAAAGGTAAACTAAAATGTGTCAGGCTAAACTGCTGACAGTCACTAGGTAACCTCTGAGAAAGAGGCCAAACTGATACTGAAAAATATTGCATTCAGATGGTGTCAAAGGAAGCCTGAATTGAAAAAAAAATCTAAAAATCCCAGAAGTTTAGATGAATGGAATGTATCTGCCCATAGGAATGTGTTCATATTCTTCAAATGAATTTGATTTTAGATGATGCAAAGTCCAGCATGTGTTCATCTTCCTTTTCCCAGACTCAGGCCTGTTTCTGCTTTGGAAAGGTCATTAACGTGGTGTCACAAGTTATAAACATGGAATTGACATGGTATCACCCATTGCAAACCACAGCAAGCAGGAAAATCTCCGACCTTGTGCTTTTCCATCAGTGCCACCATCTCAGTTATCTTGTGCTGACATCTGGCATCAGTTTCTCTCTGTATCATTGCAGTTTCATCACAAAGCAACCTCATCTTTTCTACCTGTCAGTAATAAATTGCATTTCATTCATCAACATAACTATATATTTCTTTTAAATCTCAATTTCTTCTTCCCGCTGTGGGTGCAAAGTTTGCAGTCCCACTTGGGCTTTATTTGCTTTTAAGATCCCTTTCAAATCCCTCATCTTTTCTGCAGATTGTTAAAATGGGCAAGATCAAAGGTACAGCCAAGGCAGGCAAGCTCACTGCAAACCAAAAGGCCATTTCAAGCCCTCTGCCCTAACATTTCTTAGCATTGCCATAAAAAAAGTGTGGGTGGAAAAATCCTAATATGGGAGAAGTTATAATCTAATTTAACTGGGCTGACTTTATACCAAGGGTGGAATTTCTTTAAACTATATCGTGAAAGAAGGAATTTTTAATGGAGTTCTCATTGTCAAAGACATATTCAAATATTTCAACCTAAGCACCTAATGTACTAAAGCTTTGCTCACAGGCATACAAAACAAGTTCCATTTATGTTGAGAAGACTGAAATATGAGCAAGGACTCTGGATATTAAAGCTTCAGAACAACATTTTAAACTAAAAAAAAAAAAATTGCAGTAAAAATTAACACCTCTCACCTCTTCACGAAGTTTATTTTCATTTACTTTTCTTGTTTCTATGTCTTTTTGATAGATGTCAACTTCTTCCTTATGTTGCTTGTTCATATTTTCCATTTCTAACTGCAATTTATTCACCTTTGGAGAAAGCAGAATTGCTGCTGTTATTTGTTTAGGAATTACTATGTTGATTATTTTTTCTGACCTCTTATTTTTGAGCACAAACACTGTTACTTTTCAGGTATATGATTCAAGTGGTTCCTATTTAAAAGTTCAGGGTTTTTTTTTAATAAAGAGTTGAACTTTGGCCTGAAGTGAGTTAGAAAATATTCAAAGGAACAATGGCAACAGCACAATGGGGAAGACTGCCCTAAGCAGTCACCCTAAATGCTGTGAATGCCTTGGAAAAAAAACAAATAGAGATGGAGATTTTATTCCCTCTCTTGTAAATCTGTATCAGATTTTCACAGGTTTTATGGTACATTTTCTCCCAGCTGTGCATTTTGACTACAGTTTTTCCTTTTAAGTTTTTCATATGAATATCCTCAAAAAAGTCCACTTTTCTTCAAGTGCAGTACCCAAAGCTGGACACAATATTCCCATCAGAGGGATTGCCACTGAAGAACACATTTAAAGAACAGCCTAAAAAGAGTAATATATTTATATATATATTTCTTTTAAATGCTTTTCTGTTACAATGAGGTTGCTGAACCCTGTTCAGTCCACTATCAACAAAAGAAAAAAAAAGGGAACAGATTGGAAACATCATTAATTGCAATGTGAATCCATCTCTTAAATGTCCAATAGTCAGTGCCCAATGATTAAAAATGGAAGCATCTTCTAAAAACTATGAGCTCATTCCTGCAAAGTCTGGATCCTAGATCCATAAACCAGCTCAGAACGTATAACAAGTATTATCATTACCTACACTGGAAGTTAAAAACACTCACCTCATCTTCTACACGATGTTATTTAAACCTACCTTCCCTTCATAAGTATTGCTTTTCTTGCTTTCTGCAGTAATTTTCTTTTTCAGCACCTTATTCTGTTGAAATAAAACAAAACAAGCACTGTACCTCAATAAGTTAATAGAATTATGTCATGGTTTAACTGCATCAAGATATTCCAGCTTTCATCAGGCAAATAACTCTTTGTTGTGCAGCTCAGGTTCCAGAACAATTCTTCAAACAAATGAATGTTCAGCTAATTTCTGTGATAATTACTGTTTCTTCACAACCTTAAGAAAGGCTCCTCCTGAGCAGCAGCAAGGAATAACAAATGAGGTGCAGAATGGAAATTAAAACTAAGATGCTGCTGACGGTGTCAAGATGTCATGACCAAAAATACAAGTTATTTATTTTTACAGTGAAGTTACTACAGTTTGTGCCAGTGCAGAATTCTTTTCTACAAGTGGTAACTGAGATATTCATACACGTACATAAATAACACTATGCACTAAATGAAAAAGAGTAGAAGTTTATTAAAGATATTATTTTTGTAATTGCTCTTTTCAAATTAAGGCTCATTTAACAAATCAAGTGATCCCTAAGATGACTCTCTAATTTGCTCAGGGTTAGGATAAGAAAGGAAAATGTTTAAGTTACATAGGTGTATCTAAAGACATCACAGCAGACAAAAACCTGCTGAAAAGGCAACCCAAAGTATAATGTGTTTATGTATTTGTGACATTTAAAATCTCTACACACCTCCTGCTGCAACTCTTCAATGCATTTGGGTTTATTTTCCATCTGTTTCTTTAAATTATTCATCTGAAAGAGATATTTCAGACATGAGTTAGTAAGTTCTACAAATGACTCCCTATGTGAGCAATTCCTGTAGATGTTCTCAAACCTGCCCTTGCACCAGTCTGGTTTGTTCCAATGGACTGAAACACCAGCTGCCATGTTAGAATAATCGGAGTTTTAGCCATAAAGTACCACAAGATGTTGATTAATAGCAGTGAACCAGTTCCTTAGTGGTTATGGAGTTAAGAAAGAAGAAGAAAAAAACCCCAAGATCTTCACAATTTAAAAAGTGCACTTGTATGAAGTTCCCTACATCCATGAAAAAATGAATTTTCCCAATTATTTTCTAGAATCTTCAATGGCTTTTTCTTTCTTGAAATTTCATTTTCAGTTCTCTTAACCTGAAAATAAATTGTAAATCGTTGACTTTTACAATGAAATTTTGAAATTTGCTAAAAACCCCAGGTTGCTTTGAACCAATAGAAAGAAAAGTAAAAGTGTTTGAATCTATTTCAGCTCAAACTCACACTACATATAAAAAGCTAATCCAGAGCCCATCCATCACTGAGTGGGTATATGAAAAAACAGAAAAGCAGGTTCTCTGTTTGCCTGAAAACAAATAAATCTTTAATATTAAACTTCCAGCACAGAGTGAACATCCCAGTGACTGTGCTTGTCTTTTGAAATACCAGGGCTCACATGGGGACACGCAAGGGCACAGCTGGCAGCAGCTGGGAAAGAAGAAACCTCTGGCAGAGATCACATCCCCCAGGCAGAGCTTTGCAGAAAAAATCCCAACAAAGATTTTACATTGAATGCTGCCCTGCAGGTTCTGTAAGATATTTTCATGACACAGGACATACATTTTCTTCTCTTTCATCCAGTGTACTTTTCATCTCTTCACCTGTCTTTGCCATTTTCTCCTTCAAAGACTCCAGTTCATTTCTAAGTGCCAAATTAACAAGCATTAGTAAATATTTCCTTATTGCCTTTAACTTATTTTCAGTACTTCTAACAAACCCATATTTTATTTTCTGAAAAGAGCTGCTAATGTTGATGGGAACTTCACATAAGCTGCTCAATGAAAATGTTCTTAAAATGCAGCAACAGGCCCAGTAAGTCAATATGTGAACTGTCCATACTTCTTGTAAGTAGGAAAAGATGTTCCAGGAGCCCAAGGAAAATACATCCTGACCTGGACTATTGCAATGCAGCTGTGAAACATGGGAGCTGCCTGTCTGTTGAACTGGGGATACAGAGAGTAACTCTGATCCAGTTTTGCCTTGTCACATTTCATCCGTAACCTTCAGCTTCCATTTGAATTTCCTTCACACCTGAGATGTCTAATGCAAAACAAGACAGCTCCTACTATGGAATACAAAATGATGGCAAACATTGTTCCTGCAGCAATTGGTATTTCTAATCTGAGAAAATTTCTACTTGGCCAACAGCAATTCTGGATAGTTTCTGTTTAGCTATGTAATCTAAAAAAACATTAATCAAAGAATCCCAGAAAGCAATATTTGAACACAACTAACTATTTGAGTCTGCTTCCTTTAACAATATCAGTTATTAATATTTGGTTTTACTTGCCTTAGCTGGCTATTTGCCTCTTCTAGATTTTCAACTAACTGCTTTGTATTGTCTTCTTTTTTCTTACTATCCTAAATAAAGACCCTTGTGTCAGCAAAGAAATAAAATTCAAAGTGACTTCTTAAAAAATTCAAAGCCATCCAAAGCACACAGACCTGCCTTGTTCACAAGTGTAAATACACTTCCTTTCCAATTCAAACACAAAAAAATTTGCTCAGGTACTCTACAGATCCAAGTCATGTTGCAGCTCATCATCTAATTTGTAAAACGGAGTCATTTGCCAAATTGAGTGTTGTCCTTTCAAGAAAGCTGGAAGTTTACAACTTGCCTCTTGTTGTTCTTGCAGCTTCTGGAGTTCTGCAGCCACAGCATTTTTCTCTTGTGCTGTTTGTTCTTTCTCTAGTGAAAGCTTACTGAGATACACTGTTAGCTGTTCATTCTTTAACCTAATTTAAAACAAATGGCCAAGGGGAATAAGAAGATGCATTTTGAAATCTCCTTTTAAATTAAAAATACCCATTATCAAGTGTTATTCCATGCTGAAAGAAGTCCAGGCCTTTATCTACAAATATAAGCTTTGCAGCAGAGTCAGAGAGATGTACGAAGGTGCCAGAAGAAGGAAAGAAAATCAGAGCCAACTTTTATATATATATAATGGTTAGTGAAGATTATGTATTTTAAAGCAAGATTAACAATTAATTCAGAAACTTTCTCTCGTTAAATAAGTGAAAGAACAACTACATATGCCATAGAATACACATAAATAGAGAAAGTGGAATTTAGAAATGTAAGCATATACTTAATGGCATATATGTGGTTCAAAACTTTCATTAGAAAACAATCATAGTTCATTTCACTGTGGATTAAAGCAACTTCTATATTACACCAAAACTAATGAAATATCCCATTTTCAAAATGGTCATACGCCTCCTGTTCAAGATCTGTTTTCAGAGTCACAAGCTGCTTTAAATAATCTTGTTCCTTCTTAGCTGTTCTTGTCAGCTGTGCTTTCAAACCATGGAATTCTTTCTGCAAAATGAAAAGGAAGAGTTTTGAGTTCCCATGTGCAAACTCCAACTGCTGGAGGTCATCAGACATGAACTAAGAGCACAAGGCTTTCAGAAGAACCCAACAACATCCATGCCATGGATTATCCAGATTGGATCTTCCCAGTCTCTGCTGGGATCTGGAAGTGGTGTGAGATAGTGAACTGTGACACCAGTGCTGTTCATGTCTGTCCTCTGCTGTGAGTTTCATTACCTGGGCTGCAAAATTCGGGTGGGACCCTGCTCTGGGTGCTGTTTCTTATGTATAAACTTGTATCCAAGACACGATGTGCAACTTCACTATTTCTAAAAACATGTAACTGTTGCTTTTCTTCAGACCTCTCTCATTTGGAGAGCATTTTCATTTCTCTCTCCACGTTTCTCTGTCTGCAAATTTTGTACAGTAGCCTCAAGATTCTTCTTCAGTAAAAGTGCTCCAATTTACCCATTTTAGAAAATGAGTGACACTCAGTTCAGAACACTCAATGCACAGATTGTAACAACAAGCAGACACAGTAAAATGCACACCTGATTTCACACTATCTTAACTTCAGCTGATATGGATTCTTGTTAGGCTTGTAAATATAAAATCATAATTAAAATAAACCTCTGTTAAGAGTGTATTTCATATAGCTTAGACTTCTGTGACAGAAAATGGGCCTGTGTCACAGCACAGCAGGGTTCACAGAGGCCAGAGCTAATTACCTTCCTGGAAGGA